TATTTACAAAACAGAGACTCACAGACACAGAAAACAAACTTATGGTTACCAGCGGGGGAAGGAGGTGGGAAGGGATAAGTTGGGAGTTCAAGATTTGCAGATACTTAACTACTATATATAAAAATAGCTAAACAACAAGTTTCTTTTGTATAGTACAGGGAACTATATTCAATATCTTGCAGTAACCTATAATGAAAAAGAACATGAAAACAAACATACGTATGTATACGTATGACTGAAACATTATGCTGTACACCAGAAACTGACACACATGGTAAACTAAGATAAACTGCCTTTGTGATTGATGTAGTAATAGTAATATAAACAAAAATAGCCAGAAACACTCTGAAAATGAAGTATAATCAGAGGTTTGAGCATTACTAAACATAAAACTAGTTAGAGAATTTAAAATACAGTTTAGTAAATGATGAAGAGGCGTCTTTAAGCAAAGTTAGTGGGGAAAATATGGACTAGTTACTAAGTGGTACTGGGATAGCCAGGTAGCCATCTAAAAAGGAAATTTTGGATCCTTACCTCATACTGTACATCAGGATAAATTCCAAAAGGTTTAAAGATTCAAATATGAACAATGAAACCACACACACACACACCAAGAAAACCTGAGATTCAAAATCTTGAGGGTTTAAAAGAAACAAAAGCAAAAATCTCCATGCCAAAAGTCTTTCAGGAAAACCAAAAGCAAATGACAAACTGGGAAAAAAAAATCTGTAACTCACATTATAAGCTATTATCAAATCTCATCTCACTATTTCAGTAATAGTTACTAAAGTCAATAAAGAAAGGACAAAATTATTCAGGAGAGAAGTGGAAAAAGGATGTGAACAGATAGTCTGTGGAAAAAGAAATATATATGATTCAAATGAAAAGATAACTAACTTCACTCAGAATGAGAGGAAAGCAAATTAAAATTGATATACCATTTTTCAACTACATAGATTGGCAAACACCAGACATCTGATGACATTGTGTTGGCCAGGGTGTAAGGAAGCGTCTGTGTTCATCAGTTGCTGGGGGTGGGGGTGTAAAATGGTGCAACATATATGGAAGGCAAATAAGCATTATCTATAAACTTTCAAATGAGTGCATTTGGCTCAGAATTCTCACTTTTGGAAATTCATGCTACAGATGTTATACACAACGAAGAATCTAAGAAGCTGCTGGTTATAAAGTACAGCATTGTTTTTATGAAAATGCTGTTATTATGACATCAAATGTAAGATATACCTCAATTTCAGAGATGTCGATATATGAAAAGTATACTTAGAATCACAGCAATACTGTATTTGTGCACATGCCCTATGATATGCATACTAGATTAAGACAGCAAACTTTTTGGCCAATATAAAATGGGAAGAAAACCTAAATAACCATCAATATATTCCTGGTTAAGTAAATTACACCATAACCACAGAATGAAATAAAATGCAGCTCTACAAAAGAATGAGGAAATGTCGTGGTTTGGAACAATCTTTAAGATAAGTTCTTACTGAAAATGCAATGCATAAATCACTAAATATAACTTGCCAACTTTTGTGAAAAAAATGAAAAACCCCATCCAGATTTGTATTTGCTTGTGTATACAGGGACACTGGAAGGACAGACAAGGTATTGGGGTTACAGATGGGAACTGAGATAGGTAGTGGAGCGAGGGGGACAGGGATGGAAGACTTTTCACTGTACATTTTATATTTTGGGAGCTTATAAATAGATTATTTACCCAAAAAAGTATTAAAAACTGAATGAAAGATAAAACTCGGAAATTTCACATATTTTTGAACACATAATTTATCATGTAATATATATACAGTATTTATTTTGCTTGCCATTTGAAATGCCTCAGAAAACACAAAACAATCTTACACTAAAAACTTCTGTTGAATCTGACGGGAAGAAAGCACATATTCTGACAATTTCACATTCTTCCCATAGCCTTCCAGTCCTAGTAACTCCGCTGGAACTCATATTTCTATCATTGCTATTTGAGGATTTCTTTCATCATCATTAGTTCCGTTACTGGCAATTTTTCTTTATCAAACCTCAATATTATAAAACTATTCTTCACTTTAGTGAAGCAATTTTGAAAGACATTTCTACAATGCAGGGAAAAGAATCTGGATCAGTCACAAACTCTAAGGATGTTAAGGGAGTCCTTTTGACCCTTTCTTCTATTTCTTTTCTGATGCTTTTTCATGAGAAGCTTTCTTCTTCTTTTTTAAACTATATTGTCATATACTTTGACTTTTAAAAGTCAAGTTGCAGGATTGGTATGACTGTCTTGAATGCAGAGGTTCTTCTTGAAGTAGCTTCGTCACTAAACTATTCTCTACTTATAAACTTATCACAACCAAGTTCTTCTATCAGAGGATTGATAACTTCAGATGCAGTCAGAGCTATAGTCAATGTTAAAACATCAAAATCCATCCTCCGAGGATTCCGCTGATACTCGGCATCAAACGCCGCTTCCCTGGCTCTGCAGGCTTCCACGAATCTCCTGCGGCGTTCTTCAAGCTCCTGTATTCTGCCCGGAGCAATCGGGTAGTTTTCCAGATAGTGGCGGAGGAACTGCTGGTAATTAATTCCTAAAACTCGAAGCGGGTGACGGAGACGGAGATACGGCAACGCAGCCAGGCCTGGGCCGTTACCCGGCCTGGACCGGGGTCTGCCCTCAGGCCCCTCTTCTTCCGCTGGGTCCGCCAACAATCGGGCGACCTCTGCCATCCGGGCGTCCCTGGCCGCGGCCACGGGACCCTCCCTGGGCGCCGCCATCGGACCTTCCCTGGCTGCCGCCATGGGACCTTCCCTCGGCACCGCCATCGGAACTTCCCTGGCCGCCGCCATCGGATCTTCCCTGGCCTCCACAGGCGGCGCCAGGGCTGGCTCCCGCCTCCCTCTGCCTACCTCCGCCTGCGGGATGTCACCGTTGTCATTCGCCGCGTCCGTCGACGGGACACTGCTGTCTGCGGGCAGCTTGGACATCTCCCACCGCCGGGTCAGCTCCGCCGCTCCCAGAAAAATAGGAATAATGGGACCGCACGACTAAGGGTGAGCACGTAAATGCGCGTGCGTGAGCGTTATGCACACGGGTAAACGCTGTGTGCAAACCCACGTGCAAGAGCCTAGCGTCCGCGGCCGACCCTAAGAGCACACTGCGCACGCGTCATCCCGAAGCGCCCGCGATCCTCCAGGTGCCACCTAGCGGCCGGGAGAGCCAATACGTCTGAAATCGTCCCCTGTTACCCAGAACGTCGAAGGGCAGAGCTGTATTTTATGTCTCAACCAGTTTAAATGTTTATAAGGAAAGTCTCACAAGATCACTTCCTGTTGGCTTTCCTAAGATTACAGCCTAGGATATCTCTATTCTATACCAAGATATTCTAGGCTCATGGGTTTCTTTAAGGGGGTGGGGTGACGTTCTTTATTGTTTTCCATTTATTCATTTGTTTATCTTCATACCAATCCTCTTAACTACTAAAGTTTTATAAAAATATTTCCTTGTTATTTTAAAAGTTGCTTTGGCTATTCTTAGACATCAATTTTTTAAATAAATCTTATTTGTTAAATCTTATCTGCAATATAATGTGCAGAAAAAAGTATACAAAATGTAAATATACAGTTGAATGACTTATCACAAAGTGATCCATGTAATCAGCATTCAGATCAAGAAATTTAATACTTCCAGTATCCCAAAATCCTTTTCCCCTTCTTATCACTATCCTCTCCTTTCTAGCCAGAGGTGACTGCTATCCTGATATTTATGGTAATCATTTCCTTGCTTTTTTTTTTTAAACTACCTAAGGGTACAGTCCTGATACTGTAGTTAATTTTGCTTGTTTTTTGCGCTTTATGTACTCCTGTGTCTGGCTTCTTTTGCGCAACATTGTTTTTATGAGATTCATCCATATTTTTCACTGTGGTTATAAATAATTTTCTTGATAGTAACATATTCATCACCATTACTTTTAAGTATCCCATAATATTGTAACATGCATCTTAAATATTGACTCTCCAGTTACTTTCTCTTTATACTAATTAACGTGAGAAACCTCATATAAGGATTTCACTGGTGGCGACTACCACTGTGATGGCGTGATTAATGGATGTCAGCAAATTACTGCAGTGACTCAGTGTTCTCTGCCTTGTTGGGAATAGCTATTCTGAGGCATTAGGTCTTATCCGCAGATCATGAGGCTGCATTTTTATTTCCCTTGTCCAAGCACCACATTTATAAAACGCAACATTCAGCCTACGTGCTGCTTCAAACGTGGCTTCCCACCAAGCATCTCTGCAATCACTGGATGTGTGGTTCCTTCAAAAGGCAGCTTCCGGGCTAGGCTGGAGGCTCAAGGTCCATTGCTCCCATCCTCAGGCTGCCTGGAAAATCACAAATATGGAACAAAAGAATTCCCAGACTTAGGTAATAAAGTATATTATTCAAGGAGTAACTATAAATTGTAGTAATTTGCTATAATCCTACAGAGACAGACAGAATCCTGCCTTCTGAGGCCAAAAATCACCTTCCAGGAGAGGCTGAAAGTCCCTCTTCTTATGCGGGAACAGGAATGGCTTTAAACAAAATTGTGGTGTATTAAACAGAAGGGCTCATGTGGGGAGATAAGAACAAACATCTGAAATAGATTCCAGGTTAGCTCTTGCTCCCGAGACTGTTCCCATAGCGGCTGCAGCATCTTTGCCTCTGACTCACTGCCAGTATTTCAGGAGCATTTGAGGACAATTTCAGTCACGCTGCAGACTAAACAACTAAGGAAGCTGATATCAGGAGTTCCGTGATATATTTTTACAGGAAAAAAATAGAGAAGAGAATTTAAACCCATGGTCATCAATTCATATTTTTAAAGAGGAGTGAAGAGTTTATAAGGAAAGACACAGGATCTGCTTCTCCCAAAGGCTGCAAAGCCTGAAATAATTAACACTGGTGGGAAATTTGTCCTTACTGTGAACAAAGATTTCCTTGAAAGGATAAATACTCATGTTGACCTTGGACCTTGAATCAGTACATTTATGGCTGTGGGATGAAACCACAACTCAGAATCTGCACCTGGCTTAGGACAGTTGGGGAAATCATGATGTCATTCTTGCATCTTTATTGCCCCTGATTATTCTAGGCTTTACGTCTCGTGCTCACTAGATGGCCTTGAGCTGACTTATGAGTAAGCGGTAGTCCTTTTTCTGAGCTCTGACTAGTGGATTTTCCAGATTTGCTTATCTCTCCTGAGATATTAAATGCTGTGCTGAGGTCTAAACATGATGTTACAAGCCTTGTCTCTTTTCCCAAGATTGTACTGTGCTAGATTAATTGTAAAAGTGGCCCACATTCTCCATCTTATTTCTGCACCCTTTGGACTATGAGTTTGCAGCTCTTCTCATCAAAAGCTAGATTCTTTTTCTCCGTGCCTTGAATCTGAGCTGGCCTTGTGACTTACTTTGACCAATAGGATGTGGAAGAGATGATGAGGTGTCAGTTTTGAGACTGAGCCTCGAGGCATTTCATGCTTCCATTCCTGTCTCAACCAAGAGAACAACTCTGAACTAGCTTTCTGGATGGTGGAAGACAATAATGGAGCTGAGGAAAGTGGTCTCAAGATCAGTCAGTCCCCAGCCGACCTACCAGCTGACTTCTAGGCTCATTGGCTAAATAAATGCTTGTTATTTTATGCTACTGTGTTTGATGTGATTTGTCATGCAACATTGTTATAGCCATAGATAACTGCTCCAGAAGTTGGCATCAGGAGTTTTAGCCCTAACAAAAGGCTAATATACATAGGGAAAACGGGAAATATTTTTATTTGAGCAGGAAAAATGGTGACTCTACGTTATGAGGTAGTGAAATAATTTGGTAACCTGTTGCCTGTGATTACCCAGAAGATGGAAAGTATTTCTAATGAACTGTGTTATTTGGCTAAGGAGATACCCAGGCATAATGCTGTTTACTCCCTCATGAGTATGATAAGGTGTAGCAAGAGAGGGTTGACCTATAGAAGGAACTGGCTGATTTTCCAGAAGAATTTAGAGGAAATATAGAGAGACTGTGACTTGCTAGGTTGGGAAAGGAAAGCTTTTCTCACATCCAGTCTCTCCAGCCGCAAAATATGGTCAAAGTGAAAGACAGCCCGAATATAGATCAAATGAAAGGTGTGGCTTTATGATCCTTTGTTAAGAGTTCAATAATGAGAGACAGTGCCTAGGAGAGCCTCCCAACTAGACAAAAGGGTTTCTAGGAAGCTTATGGGCACAGTCCTGCAGAAACCTGATCTTGAAATAGCAAGAGATCTAGGGAGAAAGGTATATTTTATTCCTCAGCTTTATTGAGGTGAAATTGATACCTCAGTTCTCAACGACATTGTAAGTTGTACAGTGTGATGGTTTGATACACGTATATATTTTGCAATCACAATAGGGTTCGTTAACAGTTCCGTCACTTCACATAATTACTTTTTTTTTAGTGGTGGAAACATTTAAGTTCTACTCTCTTAGCAACTTTCAAATATATAATACAGCATTGTTAATTATAATCATCATGATGAACATTAGATCCTCAAAACTTACTAATCTTATAACTGTAAGTTTGTACCCTTTGTCTATATCTCCCCATGTTCCCCACCTCCCAGCCTCTAGCAACCACCAATCTACTGTCTGCTTCTGTGAGTTTGGCTTTTTAAGTTTCCACATATAAGTGATATCATATATATCCACATATAAGTGGTATCTGTCTTTCTCTATCTGGCTTATCGCATTTAATATAATGCCCTCCAGGTCCATCCATGTTGTTGAAAATGGCAGAATTTCCTTCTTTCTCATGGTAGAACAATATTCTATTATGTCTATTACATATATTATATATCTGTATATCACTGTATCTGTCTGTCTATCTATCTATCACATCTTCTTTGTCCATTCATCCATAGACAGAAATGTAGGTTGTTTCCATATCTTGGCTATTTGTGAATGATGCTGCAGTGAACACCAAAGAGCAGATATCTCTTTGAGATCCTGATTTCATGTCCTCTGGACATATACCCAGAAGTGAGATTGCTGAGTCATATGGTAGTTCTATTTTTATCCTTTCAGAAACTTCCACATTGTATTCCACTGTAGCTGTACCAATTTACATTCTCAGCAAGAGTGCACAAGGTTTCCCACTTCTCCACATTCTTTCCAAGACTTGTCATCTCTTGTCTTCTTGATCATAGCCATTCTAACAGGTGTGAAGAGATAACTCATTGTGGTTTTGATTTATACTTTCCAGATGATTAGTTTTGCTGAGTATCTTTTCATGTACTTGTTGGCCATGTGTATATCATGTTTGGCAAAATGTTTATTCAAGTCCTCTGTCAATTTTCAAGTCAGATTTGTTTGCCTTTTTCCCCTTACATATTTTATTTTATTTTATTTTATTTTATTTTACATTTTTTATTGATTCATAATCATTTTACAGTGTTGTGTCAAATTCCATTGTTCAGCACAATTTTTCAGTCATTCATGGACATATACACACTCATTGTCACATTTTTTTCTCTGTGAGTTATCATAACATTTTGTGTATATTTCCCTGTGCTATACAGTGTAATCTTGTTTATCTATTCTACCCCTTACATATTTTAGATATTAGCGCCTTATCGGATAGATGGTTTGCAAATAGTTTCTTCCATTCCAGAGGTTGCCTTTTATTTGTTTATTGTTTCTTTTGCTGTGTGGGCGTTTTTTAGTTTGATGTAATCCCACTTATTCATTTCTTTTTGCTTTAGATGTCATATCCAAAAAATTATTGCCAAGACAAATGTCAGCATGCTTTCCCCATATGTTTGCTTACAGGAATTTTAGTGTTTCAGGTTTTCTGTTTAAGTCTCTAATTCATTTTGAGTTCATTTTTGTGACTGCTGTTAAATAGGGGTCAATTTTCATTCTCTGCATGTGATTAATCAGTTTTCCCAGCACCATTTATTGAAGAGACAATTCTTTCCCCATTAGGTATTCTTGGCTCCCTTGTCAAATACTAGTTGACCATACATGGGAGGTTTATTTCCGAGCTTTTGATTCTGTTCCTTTGGTCTATGTGTCTGTTTTTATGACAGTACCACACTGTTTTGATTATTATAGCTTTGTAATATAGCCAGAAACTTTTGTTTCA